TTTTTTTTTTTTTTTTTTTTTTTTACTATCTCGCCCTTCTAAGTATATAGGCGCCATTCGACCTTTTCTGTTTTGTTTACAGTTAAATCCCCAATGTATACTACTTGTCCAAAATGAACTTGTTTAATGAATGAATAAAGCATTAATAGTATAATCATAATTAAAACTGGAAAATTTTCACTCAAAGTATATCTATTTAAAATAAAGCCAGTAGCCCGGCTGGGCGTGGCTCAGCGGTTGAGCATCGACCTAGGATCCAGGAGATCGGGGTTCGATCCCCGGTCAGGGCACATGCCCGGGTTGCGGGCTGCAGCCGATCGATGACTCTCTCATTGTTGATGTTTCTATCTCTCTCTCTCCCCCTCCTTTCCTCTCTTTGAAGTCAATAAAGATATATTTTTTAAAAAAAGAAATGTAGAGGGAGAAGGAAAGCCACGTTTTATAAATAAATAAATAAATAAATAAATAAATAAATAAATAAATAAATAAATAAAAATAAAGCCAGTAGTCCCGACTGGTGTGGCTCAGTTGGTTGGAATGTTGTCCAGTACACCAAAGGTGGTGGGTTCAATTCCTGGTCAGGACACATACCCAGGTTTTGAGTCCCATCCCCCACTGGGGCACATGCAGGAGGCAACCAATTGATGTTTCCCTTTCATCTCCATCTCTCTCTCTCTCCCTCCCCCTCCCTCCCTTCCTCCCTCTAAGATAAATTTAAAAAATAAAATAGGAACCAATATTTCATTGTAAATAATGAGGGTAAATGGGACTTTATCTTGGGGGAAAATTAAAATTATATTTAACAAGATTTAGAGAGGATTTCCAGTTAAAGATGGAGGGTTGAACACATACATTTACAACCATTCCTTTTTGAAACCTGTCTACATAACAATAAAGGAATTTTTTAAAGTAAAACAAGATCAAAGAGAATGGGAGAAAAAGCCACAGCAACAAAATTTTAAAAGCTGGAAAAGAGATGGACAAGTAGTAACTGACCTAGCAGACTAAGAAAAGAGAATCCTAATAGGGAAAGCCATGAAGCAACCAGATTGACAATACAAAACCACAAAAGGCTCAAGAATTGGTTGTGGCAGGTACCTCTAGGAGTAGGGGATGAAGATAGGACTGAAAAAGTGGGTTAGGTTGAAAAAAAATTTTTTTTAAATATATCTTTATTGATTTCAGAGAGAGGAAGGGAGAGGGAGAGAGTTGAAACCTCAATGATGAGTCATTGATTGGATGCCTCCTACACGCCCCTTACTGGGGATCAATCCCACAGCCCAGGCACTTTCCTGACTGGCAATCGAACCTCGAACTCCCGGATCCTAGGTTGATGCTCAACCGCTGAGCCACGCCTGGCTGGGCT